ATTGATTTGGTGACTGGGGTAATCGGGATGGGTGTGTCAGAGGCAGTGTGGTTGGCACAGGATAGAGCAGGGTTTAGGGCTGTTGTGCATAGGGTTGCTATGAGTCGAAAACGACTCGACGGCACATAACAACAACAACAACAACAAGATCTTATAAATTTATGAAAATCACTTGCTTTATTTAATAATTATCTACATATAAAAATATATAAATATAGCCTGGAAGCAGGAGCGGCATCCACTTCCGTAATGACTTGCCTCTGGAAACTCTATGTACGAACAGTGCTCAGGCCATTCGTTCATAGGGTCGCTATGAGTCATCTACGACTCGACGGCACCAAACAACAATAACAACGACAACGACAAAGAGAGAGCTACGTTGGCCTAGAGCAAAGGAAGCTATGCTACCAGGCTAAAGGTGGGTGATTTTCAACTGCGGCCCTGGGCCAGGTTCAAATTGTCTTCCTGTCAAACATTCTTCTAGGTGGTATAGCACTGGCCTGTGCGTTGCTGTACAGAGGTAACTCGTGGTTGCTGTAATGCTGAAGACTGTGACAGTGATGTGCCAATCGTGGTAATGGGCACCCATGGTGGACAGTGTTGGCTGGAGCTTCCTGATTAAATCAAGCCTGGAAGCAGGAGTGGCATCCACTTCCGAAATGGCTTGCCTCTGGAAACTCTATGTACGAACAGTGCTCATGCAGGAACTTATGCTACCAGGCTAAAGGTGGGTGATTTTCAACTGCGGCCCTGGGCCAGGTTCAAATTGTCTTCCTGTCAAACATTCTTCTAGGTGGTATAGCACTGGCCTGTGCGTTGCTGTACAGAGGTAACTCGTGGTTGCTGTAATGCTGAAGACTGTGACAGTGATGTACCAATCGTGGTAATGAGCACCCACGGTGGACAGTGTTGGCTGGAGCTTCCTGATTAAAACAAGCCTGGAAGCAGGAGTGGCATCCACTTCCGAAATGGCTTGCCTCTGGAAACTCTATGTACGAACAGTGCTCAGGCTGTTAGTTCATAGGGTCGCTATGAGTCATCTACGACTCGACGGCACCAAACAACAACAAATATAAAAACTGTTTAATTACTGTGCAACTAATTGTACATAAATACTTAGAGAAAATCTGCATATTCATTCAACTTTCAATTAGGATATGCAATTTCAAAGCCATAACAACAATGAACTCAGCCAAAAGTGTTATTAAATATTAACTAAACCCGGGGGGGGAGGTGGGGAGATGGGCAGCGAGAAGGGTGCAACAATGAATGAATGGAATTCCAAAATCTCTGTAGATGTTCATTGAAATGAAAAATAAATAAATTCATTTTAAAAAATTAACAAACTATATTATATTCTCCATCATGACAGATGGAGAAAGGATTGAAACTGTTAATAATTTCCTCTTACTTGGATCCACAATCAACATCCTTGGTACCAGCAGTCAGGAGATCATTGCTTTGGGTAAGACTGCTTCCAGGGACCTCTCCAAAGTTCTAAAGAGTAATGATGTCAGTTTGAAGGCTAAGGTGTACCTGATTTAAGGCCATGGTCTTTTCAGTCACTTGAAACACATCTGAGGGCTGAATAGTGAGTAAGGACGAGAGAAGAACGGATGCCTTTAAATTATGGTGTTAGAGAAGAGTATTGAATACCCCATGAACTATCGAAAGAATGAACAGATATGTCTTACAGAAGGTGTGGTCAGAGTGCTCTCTAAAAGCAAGAATGGTGAAGCTCTGTCTTTCATACTTCAGACATGTTGAGCATAGAGGCTATTCCCCAGAAAGAGATATCATACTTGGAAAGGCGGAAGGCCAACAAAAGAAAGGAAGACCGCCAATGAAACGCGTTGACACAGTCACTGCAGCAGTTGACTAAAGTTTGTCAGACATGATGAGGAAGTCAAAGATAGAACAGGATTTAGGTCTGTTGTTCATAGGGTGGCTATGAGTCACACACAAGTTGGTGGCACCTAACAATGGGCTTGTGTGTGTCAGAGACTGTGAAAATGGCATTGGACAGGACAATGTTTAGATCAGTTGTCCTCAAGGTTACTATGAGTTGGACTTGACTTGATGGCACCTACCAACAACAACATATTATATTCTAACCTGTTAGCTTCTTCATTATCATGGTTTCTGATTGAAAATCAAAAGTAATATATTTTAAAATATATTAACTAAAACTGTCCATTTATTAAGGAAAACAGAATAAAACAATTTGAAAGTATTCAAAATGCATTATCTAGCCAAAGTACATGGTGAGTCATTAAAGCAAGCCACTCATATAAGCCATATATGTAATGTTAAGTTTTCTGGCTCCTACATTAAAAAGAGGAAAAAGAAACAGGTAAAAATATCAGTAACATATTCTACTATAATCTAATATACCCAAAATGTTATAAGTTCAAAAAGGAATCAATATTAAAATCACTGATGACACAGTTTCCATTTTCTTTCCTATACCATGTCTTTGAATGTGGGTGCATATTTTATACTTGGAATACGTCTCATTTCAAAGGCCACTAGTGGCTAGTCTACTGAATCAATAAAGAAACACTGAGAAGATGCTTGTTCTCATACAACCCCGTAACAACCACACCAGGGATATAGTGCACAAATACAAAAATCATATGAATATTTGTCTTTGGTTTGTTTCATGGATACGTCCATTGAGGCAGAAAGCTAAAGTTAAAAAGTAGTACCCAAGAGTTGGAAATTTTGCTGTTGTGCTAACAGAAGTAGTGAAATTATCAAAGTGGGGGCCATATATTCAAAACTCCAATACCTCAGAACATATTAAGATATCAAGCTTCCATTTAAAACAAACCATATCAATATAATCTGTTAATTTTAAATTTTATTATCTCTGGTAGCTTCTTCATTTGCAAATGGTAGCTTTTTTTTAATTAAACACTAGTGGCTTTGTCAATGCATGGCAGGGAATTGCAAACCAGTTTCCATCTTGATTTAATGCTGTTTTAAGTTTATGAGAAAAATCTCACTATGTAAACAACAGACATTTTGATTAAACACTAAAGTTCTTATTTTGGCTGTTAAATCAATAATGCAGCTGGACTGAAAGTAGTTTACATTTTCTCAAAACTGGGCTTCGGTTCAGCTAGTATTGCACTGACATCATTTTCCAGTGAGATCTGGCTGCTTTCAGCAGCCAGTTTAGAAATATCCATTGCAAACCGCCACATAATTTTCAGCGTTAACACATTTCAAGAAGAGGGTCTCACAAATGCCATTGTTTAAAATAGGACAGTCAATCCAAAACTAGTGTCTCATTTAATGTACAATTTACTAGTAAAAATGTATAATATCATTTCAAGATCATAAGGAAAAGGCTGAGAGTGAGTTGTCTTTTACAATCACTGAGCTGACCTGGAAAGTTCCCAACTGTCCTTGCTATAGATTAATGCATTTGTCACTTAGAGCCACCAAGTGGGTTCTAACTCACAGTGACTCCCCTCAGCAGGTATTCCAGGACATAAATCATATAAACAGGATACGGCCCACCTTTCTCCGGGTTTGACGCTGGTAGATTCCGAGAAGCATGTTCTGTGGGTTAGCAAAGCACTTTGCTAAAGAAATGAGTAATAGCTCACAAATTTGTTTTGGTGCCAGAGCATCTAGAAGTCATTGTGCTCTTTCCTTAACAATAACTTCTGCTTAGCCCTTTGCTATCAAGTTAATTCCAACCCTGATATACAACTTATGCATACTATAGGGAGCCCTCGTGGCACAGTTTTTAAGGAATTGTACTGGTAACCTAAATGTGTTGCTCCTCTGGAGTTTCTGAAGCACCAAAGGCCCTGTGAGAGAAAGATGGGCAACCTCCTCCTGTGCTATTTACAGCCTCTTGAAAACTTGCTGGAGTGTCAGCTATGAGCTATTTTTGGCTCAATAGTATTGAAAGAAGAAGTGTACATTATGCAAAGTTAGGAACACATCTAAACAGAAAATATGCCCATATTATATGTCTAAAACATGAAACCAAAACTATTAGCAAGTATAGCTATAAACAAAAAATGAAAATAGGCCACGTTATTTTAAGACAACATTAATTTTCAATTTGTATAACACAATAAAAAATGCTAAAATACTGAAGACTATTCAAATAACTATGGTCTGAATTAGAAAAAGATCACAATACATTTCAGTAGCAGAATACTCTTTCAGTTGAGTGAGCACAAGTACACTATAACCTATACACTATTAACTTGTAACTTTTAGCTAAAAATCTCAAATTTCTTACCTGTAGAAATTCTCTGACATTAGATCCCAGAACGCGCAAGATTGTATCATAACCAGATTCTTGACAAAAGACAAAAAACATCTTCCCAAACATTTGGAGGATTTCTCCAGCATTAAGATCTGTTTTACAGGTTTGAAAGAAAAATATATTACAGGTGGAGTAATGAAAATTTTAAGGGCTTTTTAAAGGTATATTAAAATAATGTAAAATTTGCAATTTTGAGGCAGAATAGCCATGGATCAAGCAAAAAAAAAATCTGTACAGAACAAAACAACAGAACCAAACAAGACAACATACATTTTAACAGTAAGAATCTCTTCCTATAAACAAAGCAATCTGTTTCCCCGCTTCCAAGAAAAATAATTTTGATTTCATAAAAAAATATTTTAATATATTTCTTACTTTCACTAAAAAAAAAGACAAATCTTTTCAAAATCACCAAGAGGAGACATGACTTACTATTTTCCTTTTTCTCACTGTAATTACTTGTATTCAAGAAATTGGTAGTATATTGATGGGATGCTAATAGCCTGTTTTTTCCTCATCATTTTGTCATTAATTTTTTCTAAATTCTTTACATATTTTCTGTTATATCTATTTTGTTTTATTTTATTCAACTGATGAATATAAAAATTTATATGAACATTATTGAAAATGAAAGGTTTTCTTTAAATTTTTTTGTTGCAGCAACACTGGTGAAAATATATATGCATAAACCTTAATACAAACTAATCTAATAATTTAGTTTATGAGGAACACCTATAGACACTTGAATTCTTTTAAAAAGACTTTAAACACAAGTTGCCAAAGTATTTGCAATTAAGTCTGCCTTAACAGCATATCTAAAATGCAAATTTCTCTTTTAATTTGTCCTTCATTATACTATATATTTACTTTTAAATTTAACAAATTGGCATGAATAACAATATCTCATATTTGTTTAAATTTTTATTACTGAGTGCATATTTTTATTATTGTTAATGTTTAGCATTCTTTTTTTGTGATTCTTGTATTCTGCTCTATATATATTTGCTTATCTAGTTATAACTATTAAAGTTTAAAATCTTTGCTATTTTCTAGCCAAGTTACAGTCTCATGGTAAATTAAGTGCTCTGAGTTTTGGTACTATTTTTAGGACTTGTTCTCCATGAAGACTTTGAACTTGGCCTTCTTCAACTGGAGCACTGTCAGACATAGACCTCAGTTTCCTGCTGTCTTAACCAATAGCTGATTTATGGTTGCAAAAGAGTTTGGAGAGCAACATTTTCTGCATACCACACTTGTGTAATTACTGTATTTTTTACATTGTGGCCAAAGTTATAACATTAACTATCAAGAATTACTTTCCATCCTGTGAGAAAAGGACAGAGAGTTTGTTTTCTCTGTGACCTTTATAAAAGAAAGAGCAGAACTCAGCGTAGCCTGAGCCTAACAGTAGAGGTCAATGTACTCCCTATCATGACAGGCAGCAGACAACCTACATAGATGTACACCATGATCTTGGGGCATGCACACTTTGGACAAAAGAAGAAAATTTTTGTCAACTTACTGAGAACTTTGCTTGCCGCAGCAACCAAATCGTAAGTTTTGGAATCATCATATATTATTCTGACAAGAAACTGCCCTTCTTCATCTAACTGTGCCTCTTTTCTGAAAAATAAAAATTAAAGTGGTTGTAGAGAAACATTAGAAAGAAAATAATAATTCTAACAGCTCTACTAAAGTATAGAAATGAATTTATGTCTAAAAAAGGTTTGTTTTTTTTAAATGTGCTTAAAAAAATCATGTACCTAAAATAGATAATGATCAAGTAGAAATTAAGTTGTAACTCCCTCATTCAAATCTAAAAGGATATATTTAAGGACAACTTATATTTAATAAAATTATACTTACATGTTGCTCTAATGACTAACATAACATCAGATATTTAACATACAAACATACAATTAAGAAGCTTTTTAAAATTAATTTTAATGAAAGTTTACAGAGACTTTGGATTTCCATTGATTCATTGTTACACTTTCCTCCCTGTCCAACCTCACCCCCAGTTTGCTCTCCTGAGTAGTAAAAGAAAACTTCTTGCATTGTTATACAGTCCCTTCCCCCAAGTCCACTGTGCTCACTATACAGCCTTCATTCTGCACTCCTCTCATGACAATAATACCTAATCATATATCCCTTTTAAACAGTTCTTTCCCTCATCTGTTTCAATTTCATATACATTATTTATCCTCTTTTTCTCAGTCTCCCCCGAACCCCACTGTCAGTCTCGTTTTACAACAGTGGCACTACACAGTATTTGTCCTTTTGTGACTGAGATATTTTACTCAGTATAATGTCCTCCAGGGTCATCCATTTTGCATAATATTGCATAAGTTCATTGTTTTACTTTATTAAAAAATTTTTATTTTAATGAACATTTACAGAGATTTTGGGTTTTCATTCATTCATTCATTGTTGCACTGTTTTCTCTACCCTCCTCCCCAGTTCGTTCTTCTCCCCCCGCCCCGAATGTCTCTTTTAATTGTCCAATTGCCACAGTGCTTGTCAAAGCCAGTTCTGATTAATCTCCTTTGTCAGTGTGTCC